CCTTTAGTATTTCTATTTTGTTGCATATATCTAACAGGCTACCGAAATAGTGCAGAGAACTGAGAACTTTACAAAAACAATTCCTAACGTTTTATGTTTTCAAAGCATTCCTGTTGAATTTTCTTTTTTTTTGTGAAATTTTTGAGTACTTTTTATTAATTCTTTAGTTATTTTTTATAACTAAAGAAGCATCTTGCAACCAAAATGAAGCCAAATTCTTTCTGGTTGTCACTATATAACATAACTTTGTTTAATTTTGTTTTTTTATTTTTAGTCTCTTAAAAATATGTGTAATTTACACATTGTATTTTTTTTTAAATAAAACATATTTCAGAAAATGTTTCAAAAAATATTTTTTCATTTGAAATATCTGAAAAAAATCAAATTTAAACAAACTCATTAATTTTTTTTGTCTTTGAATAAATTTATTTGATAAATTGAAATTTAATATACATACATATTTTTATATTACACTACCTTACCGCGCTTCTTTTTTATTGTTTTATTTTTTTTAGAAGTTTTTATAAAATAATTTTTTTAACAGTTATTATTAAATATCTTATAATTTTTCATTTACAAACTGCACTAATTTTAAAACTAAAATCATAAAACTTCCTTTGTTTACTTTTTGCACCAACTTTTCCAAGAAAAAAAACAACATTTGGCATTCAATTTTTCAATGCTTAGAGCAAAGAACGAGGTTTACCTCAAGTTTTTGGCTTCATTGTGTTTTTTTTTCCGATTTCAATTTTAAATTTTGATTAAAAAGAATAGGCCTTTTCATAAACTCAATATATCGCGATATATAGCCATAACTGCGCTACATTTATGTTCATGTTGCTAATTTAGTTTGTTCATAAACATTGCTAACCTATCGTAAAAATATTTTAATTGTCATGGCTAGCGCAGTTAAATCAGCTGTACTTTTTATACCCTGCACTTCCTGAAGGGTATATTAACTTTGATATGGAGTTTGTAACTACTTGAAGGAGTCGTCTCCGGTATGGACATATATATATTCTTGCTCAACGTCAAATTCTGCGTCGAGTTAGACATGTCCGTCCGCCCGTCCGTCCGGTCGCACGATAACTCAAAAACGAATAATGCAATCGGCACCAAACTTTCACAAGTTTTTTCTTTTGTGCCAAGGATGAACCCTATTGTAATTGAACTAATTCGGACAACAGGTTCGGGTAGCTGCCATAAAACTCAAAGAGTTTATTTTAAATATTTCAAAAACTAATACAACTATAAATATAAAATTTTGTATACATGTGTCCAATTATATTCTACACATGCTCTAAAAATTATAATGGGATAGCTGCACCGGTTCGGGTGGCTGCCATACAACTCCAACAGCAAATTTTTTATATTCGGAAAAATAACAAAATCAGATTCATGAAACTTGGCAATTGTGTGTCGAGTTATAGGTCAGATATATTTCTGAAGTTTTGGAGGAATTGCTTGACAGGTTCGAGTAGCTATTTAAATTTCTATATTTATATAGCTACTTATTTTAAATATTTGGAAAAATAATAAAGTCAGATTCATGAAATTTGGCAGTCGCGTGTCCAATTATAGGTCAGACATATTTCTGAAGTTTTGGTTGAATTGCTTGACAGGTTCGAATAGCTCCAATACAAGTCTAAAAAGCTTATTTTAAATATTTGCAAAAATAATAAAGTCAGATTCATGAAACTTGGCAGTCGTGTGTTCCATTATGGGTTAGACATATTTTTGAAGTTTCTATAGAATGGTTTCACAGGTTCGAGTAAATGCTATACTACAACGAAATATAATTCCGAAATATAATTCTTCTTTTTTTATTGGTATGAAAAGAAAATTTCCTTTTATTCGGAATAAAATAATTTTTTTTATTTTTTTTTTTGCTAATATATTTCGTTATATATAAAGCTGATTTTCTTCTAATTAAAACAACAAACAATAAAAATGGAAATCTATTAAAATTAGGAATATTATACCTGACTTAATATAATTATCTACCTGACTTAATCTAGAATTTGATTATTTATTTATATATATATATATATTTTTTTGTTATTACTTATAAACTAATTTATACCTGTTTTAAACCTTAAAACTGGTCAAATAATTAATTTAAAGAGCCAAGTAGCCGCGTTACCTTCGTCCGTGTTCAGTAGGCAGTCCTGTTTGATTTGTATATCTGCATGCTTTCATGAACTTCTCTCCTGAGTTTTCCTTTCACCTTTTTTAATACCTTTAAATTATCTTCCGTGATTGTGTGATCCGTTTCATCACGACTTAACGATGCCGAGTCCATCAGTTCCGAAACTGGTGTGTCTACCAAAAATTCAAAAGGAAGGTGAGCAGTTCAGGGAGATCATTTCCGCTAACGGCGCCCCAACATACAAAATTGCGAAATTGATTTCCGTTCCTGTTCTATTAAGAATAGAGAGGAATTTATAAAAAAAATAAAGGCTTAAAAATTGGTCCTGTTGAATTAATGGTATGGTTCGATGTCAAAGCGCTCTTTCCCAGTGTTCCAGTTAACCAAGCTCTTGATTATTTGAAAGTATGGTTATCAACACAAGCAGGAGAAACAGAAAATTGGAGCAACAAAGTAAAAGAATACCACAAATTAGCAAGACTTTGCATGGAGGAGAATTACTTCGAATTCAGAAACGAAATGTACAGAACAACATCGGGAGTATCGATGGGCAATCCACTTTCACCATTTATCGCAGAATTACTTATGTCCAAATTGGAAAAAAGAATGGAGGAAGATTCTCTGATGCCTAGAGTATGGATGCGGTATGTTAATGACGTCTTCGCGATAGTGGACAAGGAAGAACTGGAGAATATAAACAGATGCATCAACAAATTACATAGAAACATTGAAGTTACATTTGAAATTGAGGAAAATGGAATGTTACCTTTTTTGGACATACTGGTGACAAGAAAATCTGAAAAAATTGGATTCAAGATATATAGGAAGAAAACAACAACACAAAGATGCATTCCAAAGGATTCGTACCATTCAACGAGACATAAAATGGCGGCGTTCAACTCTATGATCCATAGAATGCTAACCACACCGATAAACAGACACGACTATAGATCAGAAGTAAACTTCATTTTGGACACGGCTGTGAAGAATTATTCTACTGAACGTATTAACAAACTCATTAGGAAGAAAAAACGAAAAATTGAGCAGGAGAATATGAGCACATTGTTTAAACAGAACAGGATATTGGAAGAACAAGAATAACATGGGCATCTTTAAGTTATGATCATCACTGTACAAACTTGATAAATAAACAACTAAGGAAACATAATATTTGGACATCGGAAACCAAAAGTAAATATCAACTTAGGAGCTTGTTAAATTCGGCTAAGGATAAATTGAAGATACATGAAAGATGCAGAGTTTACAAAATCAATTGTATTGCGATAAATTTTACATAAGACAAGCGAAGAGACCCGTTACAACAAGTGAAATAAAACGTGCAAGGAGAGTAGGATTTAACAGGATTTTCGATTCTATGGTTGCAAATCACATTTATGAAACGGATCACACAATCACGGAAGATAACTTAAAGGTGTTAAAAGAGGTGAAAGGAAAAACAGGAGAGAAGTTCATGAAAGCATGCAGATATACAAATCAAACAAGGACTGTCTACTGAACACGGACGAAGGTAACGCGGCTACTTTGCTCTTTAAATTAATTATTTGACCAGTTTTAAGGTTTAAAACAGGTATAAATTTAGTTTGTAACTATTAACAAAAAAAAAATATATATACATAAATAAATAATCAAATTCTAGATTAAGTCAGGTAGATAATTATATTAAGTCAGGTATAATATTCCTAATTTTAATAGATTTCAATTTTTATTGTTTGTTGTCTTAATTAGAAGAAAATCAGCTTTGATAAAGGGCGTATGTAGCGCACGAAATATATTAGCAAAAAATAAGAAAAAGTATTTTATTCTGAATAAAAGGAAGTTTTCTTTTCATACCAATAAAAAAAAAGAAGAAAGACATATTTTGTTCATGAACACAATACTGCGAATTCAAAATAGCAAAAGTTTTTACATAATTGTTGAAAATATATTGCATATGTATTACATTATTGTTTCGCAGTATTGTGTTTATGAAAAGGCCTAATATGTAGAATAACTAGAGCTAAAAATATTAATCAATTTCCTCCACACAAATAATTTCCGACACCCCTTCCATTACCAATAATATGTTTTAAGCAGACCGTTAAACTGTGTTTTTAAAAATAAAATATGAAATAAACAGAAACGGTTTTTTCATGACGTAATAAATAGAAATAAAATTACATTATACTGTATTTAATAAAAATAGAGCATGACATGACATTTGAATATAAGTTATATATTTTCTCTTGAGTATTCCAATGCAGAATATTATATACAGATCTTTGCATACTTAAAGGCGCAGTTTCGCGGCCTCAAAGGGGAGGCACTATAGATCTTTATCCTTTGTTATTACGGTTGTGCAAATCTAAAATTTACAAAGGAAAACCGACGTACATACAGCTTAGGTACTTACTAACATATTGTGATAATTCGCGACAAAATTTTTTTGAACTAAAACTGCTGTAGAAGCACTGATTCTTTTGAGCTTGATTGAATTACGTTCCCTAAGTATGTAATTATAGAATACAATCGATATTAGATTTTTTCTAACAGTTTGAAAATAATGCATGTACATACAGAAATCTTTTTATAGATGTCCATAAATTGCTATAAATTTTTATATGTGCAAGAATCAATAAATAAATATCTAAAAAAGAACTATTTTTTATTTTCAAATTTTTTTTTCGGCAATAAAACAATCTATTTCCATAACTAATAAATCAATTTTATATGCTGACATAATTCTATTTTATAAATATTAATAAAAACTTTGTGATGAAAATATTCGTGTGAAATTTGTCTGATATTATATAGCTCAAGTAAAAAACTATCGCAATGTTTTCGGCATTTTCAGAGACGATCACGGATTTAGTCCCCTTCACTGGTGTGCAAAGGAAGGACATACGAAACTAGTCGATATGCTACTTCAAAGAGGTGCTAGAGTAAACGCTACGAACATGGGCGATGATATACCTTTACATCTTGCTGCAGCCCATGGTCATAAGGAAATCGTAATCATGGTATTATCGTAATCAATTTTGAAATTAAAAAAGAATAATTTGAATATCAATATTTTTAGTTATTAAAAGAAAAATCAGATGTAAATGCCACAAACGAACATGGTAATTCTGCTTTACATTACGCATGCTTTTGGAGTTATGAAGATATTTGTGAAGAATTAATAAATTATGGTGCATTAGTGCTGCTGGCCAATAAAGATGGTGACACTCCTTTAGATAAAGCCAAACCGGTTCTTGCAAAACAATTACATGATTTCGCCGAATCCAACGGTCAGGAATTAAAAAAAATAAGCTTCAAAGACCAAAGTTGGTTGGGTTTAAAAACCAGATCGCGTGATGCAACTCTTTCTAGATTTAAGGGAATCAATGCTACTGATCTTGATCTTCATAGCAAGTTGGCGGTGAGTTCATCCGGCGAAACTTGGCGTGGTCGCTGGCAGAAAAACGATATAATTGCGAAGGTTTTCATAAAATTTAAATTTTTTTGTAAAACATAATACATAACATTTTTTTTAATTCAGATATTAAATATACGTAATTTAACTGCAAGAATTTCAAGAGATTTCAACGAAGAATTTCCAAAATTAAGAATTTTTTCGCATCCAAATATATTACCCATAATTGGGGCCTGTAATACTCCTTTAAACCTTATTGTTATAAATCAGGTAAGATTGGAATTTTTAATTTTTTTGTTTTTACATACAAATTTTTACTTGTTAAACGGTCTAGTATATGCCTCGTGGCTCCTTGTTTAATTTATTACATGGTGCTGCAGGTGTTGTTGTTGACACTTCTCAAGCTGTTCGATTCGCGCTTGACATAGCTCGGGGAATGGCTTATTTACATTCTCTGGAAAAAATTCTTCCAATTTATTATCTCAACAGTCACCATGTTATGGTAAGTAGGCATATAAATATGTTTGTTCGAAAAACCTTTATTATTTACGACGTTTAATTATAGATTGATGATGATTTAACTGCTCGAATAAACATGGGAGATGCGAAATTTTCTTTCCAAGAAAGGGGTCGTATTTTTCAACCACAATGGATGGCTCCTGAAGCCTTGCAGCGTAAACCTGCAGATATAAATTGGGAAGCTTGTGATATGTGGAGTTTTGCTATTTGTATATGGGAGCTCTCGACAAGGGAAATTCCGTTCTCTGGTTTTTCGCCGATGGAATGTGGATCTAAAATTGCCTTAGAAGGTCTTCGAATAAAAATTCCGATGGGAACATTATTTCATTTGTCCAAATTAATTCAAATATGTATGAACGAAGATCCGGGAAAGAGACCAAAGTTTGAAATGGTAATCCCAATTTTGGACAAAATGAAAAGATAGAAAAGATTCGTATAACTAATCTATTAGTTACTTTAAACTTACTCAAGGTTTAAAGTAATTTTTTAACTATTTTAATATAATTTTAACACAATTTTAAATATTAATCATTTTAAATTATATGTTGCCACTTCAATTTTTGTTTAGAAAATTTGGAAAAAAATATGGGCTAATGATATCCAATGTAAAAATTCATTAATTTTTGTAGTAACGGTTCCCAAAATATTTTCAAAAAATTTACAGTTCAGTTGAAATGCATTTTAATTTTTCAATAGATTTCAATTCTCGAATCTCGTTTAATAAAAACTTCAAAACTTTCTGGCAGAATTGCCCGAAATTGCTATTTTTTTTAAATAAAAACGGTTTAGTAGATTGCTATAATTACTGTTCACTTTATAACTGATTTTGCTTATTTGAAGAGTCCGTATTTAAGAAAATAACCGTAAATAGTTATTTTTCTACAATTTAATTGCTACATATATATTTTTATTTATATAAAATTCCAGTAAATTATTGAACTTTAGTATGTTTTGTTAAAATATTTTTTCTGTAAACTAATTTGCTAGTTTATTAAAATGAAAATAACTAGAATTTTTTATTCCTGATTAACCGATATAACTTAAAATTTTTTATAGTTGCGATGTTGACCTATTTGTGAAAATAAACATAAATAAAATAAAGTAATTTAATAAAAATTGTTTTACTTCAATTTGTCGTCCCTCAATTTCCATGCCATCTAAATGTAACCTTGCTCTCTCTGCTTCCGTCCATTTCGAAAATGTTATGAATCCAAAACCCTGAAAATATAAATTTTAGTAACATTAAAGCAAAAAAAAGTATACTATGCATTTTAAAGCACTTTGCTGCCACGATCATTGAAAATAATTTCAGTTTCGCATATCTCTCCAAAACTCTACAAAGAAAAAATTTAATGTTTTTACATAAGTATGTATATGTTATTGTTAAATGCTGACTTTTTTTAACTTACTGCGAATAACTTGCGAAGTTCATAATCACGAAAACGAAATGGAATGTTTGAAACATGTAAGCGCTTGGGTAAAATAACTCTGACATTTTGAACTTCACTTTTTTCTAGAAATTTGTAAATTTCAGAAATAAAAAAAATATAAATAGGTATATAATAATTTAATATTAGGCTACCTGTTCTGCACGTGTGGCTTTCGTTACAGCAAATTATGGAATCATGTTTAAACCCTTTATTGCAATTTCCAGTTATTGAATTAATATCAATATTTATCTATAAATAAAATCTAAATGAATATAAATATTTGACAGAATAATAGTTTCAGTCGGGAGTTATAATGTAGTAATGTATGTGCATATATATATATATATATATATATATAGATTGCACACTGATTATACACATTATTTTTATAAAAGTTCTATTAATTAATCGTAATATCTTGATATGAAGCAGAAAAACTATTGAAATACATATGTAATAATTAAAAATTCCTTTACCAATACTTACCCAAATCTGAAAATTAATAAGGAGCCATTCTTCGTTAAGTTCCTTATTTAAAATATTTTTTCGAATATTTTTATCAATATTCGACATTTTTAATAAAAAAATTTACTACTTATTTAGCTGACAAAAATTATAGTTCCGCAGTGAATGTATGTTCAACTCCAGTTAATTTTATTCTTTATTCCAGATATGAATAAAGAATCAATTCAGAAAACAGCCCTCTGGAGGACGATATTTTCATTTGGACCGTGTCTTTGATTTTTCAACAACTCTAAAATTTTTTCTGTTAGTGAAAACCAGTAACTGAATAGCAAACAGCAATTGAAAAATTAAAAAAGTTAAGTACATTATACCTATGTACATATATGTACATACGTATGTATATATATCATAGTGAACATTCTTGAATTTTCATTTACAACTTTTCACAGTGGAGATCGCAATCTTTTACCTTGCTTTAAACATATTTCCAACTGTAAACATGTTTTTTTTTCCAAAAACTACAAGCTTTGATAAATCAAAACAACCTTAAACTGAAATATTTATTGAAATAGGTATTCACGTGCACACATATTCATTATACATACATATATGTACATATACAAGACGGAAATTTTATTTTTAAGTAAAGTTGTATTCCTAGGTAAAAAAAATTGAAATATCATCGCACAGAGGGCTCTTGTTTTTAATTGATTCATTATTCTTTTCAGGTGTAACTATTAGGTTTGCCAGCTAAATATTAGCCAGCTAAATCTTCCTGTTGTTTGAAGCGTTCAAAGAATACGGCTTATGTACTTACTACCATATTGCGATAAATAGCGATAAACGTTTTTTAACTCGTTGAGTTGAAAAATGGGCTAATACAGCAATAGCATAGCACCCGACTCGCCGAAAATTCGTCTTAATTGTAGCAGCATTAATTCTTTTGAGCTTGGATGAATTACGTTTACCAAGTATGTGATTGTAGAATAACAACATAGAATACAAAAGATACTAGATTTCTAACAGTTTGAGAATACTAATGTACTTATGTACATACAGACATCTTTTTATAGATATCTGTAAATTGTTACGAATTTCTATATGGCAAGTAATGCCATATACATATGTATGTAGGTATTCATATATATCAGGCCATCAAGCTCAGAGAGCAAATCAAAAATAAATTCCAAATTACTATGGATGTTGGAATTTATTTGTATGAAGGAAATTGATCAATATTTTTCGATCTGATTCTACATATTTTGTTAAATCTAAAATTTAAATTAAATGAGAATCATTAAAAAGGCATCTAAAAACTTTTTGATTCGAATATTCGTGTGAAATTTGTCTAATATTTTATAGTTCAAGTAAAAAACTATCGCAATGTTTTCGGCATTTTCAGAGACGATCAAGGATTTAGCCTCCTTCATTGAAGTGCTAGAGCAAATGCTGCAAACATGGGACCTTTACATCTTACTGCAGCTCATGGGAATAAGGAAATTGTAATCGTGGTATTATTCAATTTTGAAATTAAAAAAAGAATTTGAATATCAATATTTTTTAGTTAGAAAAATCAAATGTAAGTGCCACTGTTTCAAGCGAATTTCGGTTTATAACATTTATCAATAGGGGAAAATTCATCAATTTGTTAAGTTTCAAACTTTAAAATATTTATGACTTCCTCCAATCTATTAGAATCATATACATATGTATGTATATATAGATGCTCGTATTAACTACGCAACTAACAACTTCCAGCCGAAACTAGCATTATGTAAAGATAAAGATAGAAACGTGATTACAGAAGAAAATGAAATCATAAAACGATGGGCAGAGCACTTTAAAGACACATTGAACAAAACAACAGAGGAAAGTCAAGAAGATGAAAATATAATATATACTGCTGAACCCCTAATAGACACACCATCAATGAGTGACGTAAAAAACGCAATAAATAAGCTAAAACACAACAAGGCGCCAGGCGAAGACGCAATAACAGCTGAGCTGTTATGTAAAGGAGGTGAACATTTATTTAAGAAGTTACATAATCTAATATGTAATGTATGGTTACAAGAGATTATACCTGAAAAATGGCGCATTAGTATTTTAAGACCAATACACAAAAAAGGGGATAAAACTGAGTGCAATAATTACAGAGGTATTATGCTATTGAATGCTGCATACAAGGTGCTGTCTAATATACTGTATGAGAAAATTAGACCTTACTACGAAGAAATTATAGGCGAATATCAGTGTGGGTTCAGAAATCAGAGGTCGACTGTTGATCAAATTTATCTATTAAAGCAAAATATGGAAAAATGTTACGAATTTGGTCAAGATCTACATATACTATTTATTGATTTTCAACAAGCATTTGACGGTGTAAATAGAAACAAAATTGTACAATCACTATTAGGACTTGGCATACCCAGAAAATTAGCAAATCTTACTATGGCAACGATGGTTGGGTCAAAAGCGAAGGTAATGATACAGAATTCGGTGTCAGATAATTTTGAAATTCAATCAGGAGTACGACAGGGTGATGCATTATCAGCTATGCTATTTAACATAGTATTGGAAAAGGCTATAGGAGAAATGGATGGGGGTGGAAATATTTTTACAAAGTCCCATCAAATAATTGCATACGCTGATGATATAGCAATCATATCAAAAAATTACAGGAGTCTAGTTGAAACATTCGTGACACTAGAGGAAAAATGCAAAAAAATTCGGACTAATAATAAATGAAAAGAAAACAAAGTACCTAAAAATATCGAAACAAGAACACAGAAGAACAGCCCAAAATATCACCATCAACGAACACAATTTTGAGGGTGTTGCACATTTCACTTACTTGGGAGTATTAATAAAAAATGACAACAGTATGCACTCAAGCATACAAGACAGAATAACAGCAGGAAATAGAAGCTACTTTGCAAATAAGAAATTATTACAATCGAAATTACTTACAAGACAAACGAAACTTATAATATATAAAACCATTATACGACCAATTGTCACTTATGGATGTGAGTGCTGGACACTTACTGTTAGAGACGAAAATAACCTACGTATATGTATTTGAAAGGAAAATACTCCGTAAAATATTTGGAGCAAAAAGACTAGATAATGGCGAATACCAAAGAAGAACAAATGAAGAATTAAATAATATAATGAAAGACGAAGATATTGTAAGATTTGTAAAAGCACAACGATTAAGATGGGCAGGTCATTTAATACGTATGAATGAAAATCGAGCGCAAATTAAAATATTCAAAGCAAGACCATTACATAACCGGGCTAGAGGCAGACCGAGAGTAAGGTGGAAAGATAATATTGAAAATGATACCAGAAAAATGGGTGTACAAAACTGGCAACATTGTGCACAAGATCGAGTTGTCTGGAGAAATATTGTGAAGAAGGCTAAAGCTCACACCGAGCTGTAACGCTAAATGATGATGTATGTATATATTTCTTATCTAACAACTTTTTAAAAATTGAAATTTCATGAATATTTCTTGAAATTACATCCATATGTTGGTATGTATGTAATGTAAGCTTGTATGTATGTTATGTTTACTTTATAATTAAACCAATCAACCATTAATTTTGGGATTCTCCAAATGTTACTATTCAACACATAAAAAGAATATGTATAAGTTTGTACCAGTGCTGTTAATTTGAACTTGTTTTTCAACAGCATTTTGTCTTTAAAAAAGTAGTATGGAGAGCTTTAGCGTACTAATTTGGGGTTACCCTTAACAACAAACAAATAATAAGGCATCTGACTAAATAGATCGTAGCAAGAAGTGCTTGCGTAAAAATGTTTTATATTCGTACATGTAAAATCAAGTCACCCAAATGAGCTACGCGCCTACGTAACGGATTGATATTTTCGACTTTGGCAACGGTAGGTACATTCTTTTTCTGTTTTTTTGATTGTTTTTTTTTGTGTAACCGGATTAATTTAGGTTACCGTCAATTCACATTAACGATATAACCTTTTTTTTGGAAAATAATTTTGGAATTTTGGAAAAACAAACATTTTATAAAACAAAAAATATTTTTAGGTCTCTTCATTTTTGTACAAGTGGTTTTTTAACAATACAATAATGGCATTTTCATCAACCAATGCACAGAATGACATTTAAGTATAAAGGCAAAAAAGTAGTAAAAATGGATTTGCAGTAGTGTAGTAGTACAGAATGCCAAAATGTAGTAAAATACTACAATTGTAGTAAAATTAACAACATTGGTTTGTTCTTTAAACAATTTTCGTGAGATCCAATCACAGACATCTTTATTCTCAAGACTCCGTAATCATCAAAGTATATCTAGTAATAAGTAATTAGTAAATTGTGATTATCAAGTCTTATATAAGGATGTATTGTGCCGTAATCACAGACATCCTTATTCTCAAGACTCCGTAATACACAATTTACTAATACATACATACGGTGTATTCAAAGTTGGTCACTATACTTTTTGTTAAGAAATATATTCTTATTTTAAGTGTTTTCGAATAAATTTGAAATGTTCGTGGTGATTTGGGATGTTGGAAAAATAAAAAACGATTAAATACAAAAAATATGCAAAAATTATTTTATTTCGTTTAAATATTAACAAAATTATATTTCTTGTTCTTTCAAACTACAGGCAACAAATTGCAATATAATAAATTACAAGTAACAAAATGTTTTTCAGCTAAAACTAAAATAGTAGATACATAACAAAATTGTTTTTGAATAAACTACATAACATATTTACATAAAAAAATAAAATTTTGTAATCAATTTTTCTTAAAACTAGTAAATTTTATGACAAAAATGTATTCAACTAAATTCACAAATTTTTTTAATTTTCTTTTATTAGAGATTAAATTACATACTTATTATAGCCTGCACTTCGTGAAGGGTATATTAACTTTGGTATGGAGTTTGTAACTACTTGAAGGAGTCATCTGCGGTATGGACATATATATATATTCTTGCTCAGCGTAAAATTCTGCGTCGATTTAGACATGTCCGTCTGTCCGTCCGTCCGTCCGTCCGTCCGATCGCACGATAACTCAAAAACAAATAATGCAATCGACACCAAACTTTCACAAGTTTTTTCTTTTGTGCCAAGGACGAGCCCTATTGTTATTGTA